CTTGACAGCTCTGATGTCAACAACTACAGATCGGTATCACTCCTTTCTTTCCTTTCAAAAATTCTTGAACGTGCAGTCTATAATCAACTGTCTCTCTTTCTCACACAGAACCAGCTCCAGGACCCCAACCAGTCTGGCTTCAAACCAGCGCACAACAGAAACTGCTCTTATAGCAGTGACTGAGAACCTCCAGTCAGCAAGATCAGCCTGTCTGTCATCTGTTCTGATTCTTCTTGACCTCTCAGCAGCTTTTGACACGGTCAACCACACAATCCTTCTGGACGTCCTCACCAACCTTGGAATCACTGGCTCTGCGTGGAAGTGGTTCAGGTCCTATCTGGAGGATCACTCATATCAGGTAACATGGAGAGGGTCCACATCCTCTCCATGCAGGCTCTCCATTGGTGTCCCACAAGGCTCGGTGCTAGGTCCTCTTCTCTTTTCTCTTTACACTAGCTCTCTTGGCAATGCAATATCATCTCATGGCTTCTCTTATCACTGTTATGCTGATGACACTCAACTAATGCTTTCTTTCTCACCCTCTGACACACAGGTTTCCAGTCGGATCTCGGCATGTCTGTCTGACATCTCTTCATGGATGGAAGCTCACCACCTGAAGCTCAATCCTAGCAAGACTGAGCTGCTGTTCATCCCTGCACCTACAGGTCCTCATCATGATCTTGGTATCTCATTCGAGAACTCTTTGATTGTCCCTTCTGTAGAGGCAAGACGTCTTGGTGTAGTTCTGGATGGCCAGTTATCGTTCTCGACTCACATTGCAAACCTAACTCGGTCATGCAGATTTCTCCTGTACAACATCCGGAATCCGACCCTTTCTCACTCGAGAGGCCACCCAGGTGCAAGTGCAGTCTCTTGTCATCTCAAGGCTTGACTACTGCAACTCGCTCTTGGCTGGTCTTTCAATGCAGGCCATCAAGCCTCTGCAACTCATCCAGAATGCAGCAGCACGGCTCATCTTCAATCTTCAATCTCAAACAATATTTAAAACTGTTTTCAAGCATCTAAACACTTATATCCATGATTTTATGTGGGTCATGTTAGCTTCTTTTTTTCAAGTTGCATGGACTGTTAGGACATGCGGTACATCTTTACAGGCTAGATTGTGACCCAATTTACACCTGGTGTATATTGTATCTGTTTTTTAATCTAATTTTAACCACATGCATTTACAGTTGGTAATAAAAGGCATCTCTGGTTATTTAGATTGAAGTCTGATTGCTATAAGCCACATTATATTCAAATCAGTACATAAACAACAACAAATCACTTGTGTTGTTTCTCATTTTTGCTGTTCCGTTCATGCAGTTTTTTCATTTCTGTACACCCAGTTTACACAGATTTTTACTAGAATACATCCACTTAGAGTAATTAGCCTCCAGTATTAGTTATTGAGCATGGGCATTAAAACATAACATATTCCAACAAGACAGTGCATAATGATGAGCCAAAGTAAAGCAACTTGGGCTTCTGAAGGCTACTTAATTACACTCAGAGAAGAAACTCACATTAAGAGCTAAACTGAAGGAGCAGCAATGCCTTTGTTTGTCGGTCACAGTCCGAAAAAAGATGCCATCACAATACAGGGAGACATTTTGCTTGCTGAATAGGGAGACACATGCATTTAAACTGGTATAACATCTGGCTAAAATGCATCTCAGACCACCTTCTGAACTGGTTTGAGTGATCATATTTAAATGTGTTTTACACCCACATTTTTATGTGGATGACATCTATCCAGATATAATCCTGATAATTTGATGCATGAAAAACTAAGGTACAAACAGTGTCTTTGTATCAATATTAATATTATTTTAACCAAGAATCTCTGAAACAACACAGTAGCCCCAGGCTTGATGTTTACTAACAGCATATTTCACATTTTTGTTGTTGTCTTGCAGTGTTGCTGCTGTTGTGTCAAAAACTGATCTCTGCCAGTTGCAATGATTTCTGATTAAGGCTATCGCAAGAGTTACATATATGCTGTGATGTACATTCAAACGTTTTGAATCAGTTGTAATATTTTAACTTCATTTTAAATGTTATGCAGATTTCTCAGCTATTAATAAAATCATCTACAGCTCTATTCATCATTCTGAACATATTAGAATGTCTTCATTTTTTAACAGCTTCATACAAATGGGCAGAAATTTATAAAGTTGAAGAGAATGAATGATTCTGATTGTATCTGTATCTTCAAGAAATTTGTTTTATATCATTGAAAATTTATAGAAACTGCTTCCAAAGTGATTCCAAACAGAAGCATAAACATGCACCTAAACATGATTTTGAACAGTAGTGTAATTATACGTTCTAGAATAACCCTATAAATTAGCTTATCTTAAAATTGATTTGTTGCATATGACAAAAAACAAGGAATAAATACATTCTCATTGAAATATAACACAAACTAGTTCTGTAAGAATAATTGCACTGGTTCTGTTTCTGTAAACCAGAGTGACCAGATCTGAATACTGTGTGATCTTGCCAATGCCCTGAAGTCCTTTATAGCAATGTTATGTTTAGAACACACTTCAGAGGAATACTTTTCATGTTGAAATGACCACTGAGGCATGTCTATTTAATAGATGTGAAAATAATTTGCTGTGGGGTGTCTGCATTAGTCTGGGTCACTGAATCATATGTCCACATTCAGAAGAGCTGAAAGTCTTTCTCCTCCATCAATCATGTCTTCTCAGCATATGACAAATGAGGGAATAAGATGAGATTGGCTATTAACTGATTGTCAACCTGAAGCTGTGATAAAAATAAATCCATGATTTTTCTCAGTCGCTCATCCTTTATTAACTTGTACCTCAAGTGTCATTAGATGTCATTAGAATAGCAAAACAAAATATGAAGATGGTATTATGTTAGCCATATCTTGTAAAAATGCAACAGACCTCATAGATCAGTCATTGTGATAGCTGGGTGTAACTATTGTGTTGGTGGAGACATTAACTGGGACTTTATCTGGGACTTTCAGAAGGCCTAGAGTGACATTTTTCTCATAAAATAGGTCCCACCCACTGGAAATCAGCAGGTGATTGGTTGATTTCTCCATTACATTCTAATTATGTTAGTGGTTAATCTAACATATTCGGCCTTCTGTTCAGCTCCTGAGGTCCCTACCAATGGAAGAGCGTGTTTGGATGTATCTACCTAGAAAAAGGTAAAGAAAAAAAATCCTGACTGAAAATCCTGATTTCCATTTTGCCGTTTTGTGAATTTAACCCTTTTGTTTACAATCAAAACTTAACAATAAAAAAATTAGAATAATACAACAAGTATAATGTTTCCATCATTAGGCCTTCTGGGTGACATAAACCCTAAAAATCCTCATTGTAGATGTGATAGATGCCAATTGGAGATGCTAAAATGTCCATAGTTGTGAGAATGTGAGTGTGTGTGGGAATGTATATGTCTGTGTTTCTGCTCTGTGATGGACTGGCAACCTGTTCAGGGTGTTTCCTGCTTTCCGCCTAATGACTGCTGGGATAGGCTCCAGCTCCCCTGTGAGCCAGAAGGATAAGTGGCTTACAAAGTGTGTGTGTGTGCATGTGCGTTATTACGTTATATTTTTTTATTATTACTCTGTTCATTTGCTCTGTGTGGTGGTATGTACTGTTTACAAATTAACTGGATGGCTTAACACTTTAATAGTTTAAGACCTAAATCCTTTATAGTTTAAAGTAAAAATTAGAAATCCGTTTACCTACAACCCCACCCATCAATAGAAAAGGACCACCACTGACCAGATATTATTTTGGTGGTGGACTATTCTCAGCACAGCAGTGATACCAAAATTATAGTAACATGTTTGTTTTTGTAGCACTGATATGACCGTATCAGGCACACCTGCATTCCCAGATGTTTAAACACTGTGTGTACTTAATTACCATTTTATTGAAGACATCTACTTTGTTGGCATACTGGTTGTACATGTAGAGTTTATAGCTCATCTTTTTCCATGCACAGTTTACTTTAGTCATCGTAACGAGCAGTGTGGGATTAGATAAATTATGCAGCAACAGATGGGATACAGTCAGGAACTGTAAACCTACAAAGTGCACCAATGGTAGGCATAGTAGATGAAATGGCCCAGGAGGTCGAGCGATGTTTCCATTATTTTGTCCCTGTAGCTTAACCCATTTGACAAAAGCCATCAGCTTTGCCCTTACATATTGACTTTGTTATGGTCCATTAGGAACTTTAATGAAATTGTGAAGAACCACAGACACTCAAGGGTTCAGGGTTGCATCTAGAATCTAAACCTACACCAAAGAAAACTCAGAAAGATTCAAAACTGCACAACTATAACAATTTTAGCATTTACATTTGCATCTCTTATAAACTGGAAAACAGTACAGTACCTATGAGCAGAGATGGACAGAGTAAAACTATCCTCCAGCAGAAGTAAAGGTAGCTACAAACAATTCTGAGTTGGAGAAACAAAGTGTCAGGTCAAAAAGATGCTAAAGTACTTGAGGGGAACTTTTTACACCCAGCATCTAAACTAAACTTCTCTTATGCTTCTCCTTTTGTTCAAAAATAAATGCTAAGGCTCATACAGTTACACAGCTAAATGTGAAAGACTACACCGAATCAGAATACGTGACCATAAGCAGCAGTAGCCTATTATCACTGTACAATACTCAGAAAAACGTGTATTCACCAAAAGTGTGCTTAGGTATATGAGGAACTGAATGAATGGAACTCATCAGCATCCACTTCAGACTATAGAGAACAGTAATCCAGACTATGAGCCAGTGTGGAACCCTCTCCAGCGGTGAGGGAGTGGTGGAGCTTTATCTCATCATGGGCTCCACCGCGTCCACTCTTAAGTCAGAAGTCTCACACAAGGCAGCAGAGAAGATCAGTGGAGGAGCCGTGGCTTCATCTGCGCTCTTCCTCGCCTATTGATCGCTAAACGCGCACACAGCAGCTCAGCGAGGGGTGCATGTCCGCGCAGCGCTGGGATTAGCCTGTCTTGTTTGGCGGTGGAGAGAAGAAATCCGACCCCTTATGGATATTTATTCGTCCAAACTGTCCCCCGCTGTGGATTACGGAGCCGGAGCCTTCCTGCTGCTCATAGGTAAACTTTTCAGCTTCTTCTGCTCGACAACACGCCGTCCTTCTCCTTTGTCCTGCAACCATCGCGTCTGACCACTTTCATTTTCTTTGCTTTGGAATCCCTCGGTTGCTACGACTGATTGTGGCACCTTCTGTATTTCAAAGCCCTTTTCAATATGTGTCCAAAAGCTTGTAGACACCAGCTTATCCAGTGTTTCTTCTGAAATCAACGGTGTTAAAAGAGAGTTTGCAGTCCTTTGCTGCAGTAACAGCTTCTGCTCTTCTTTTTAGGCTTTACACTAGATGTGGGAACATTGCTGTGAGGATTTGATTGCGTTCAGCCACAACAGCATTAGTGAGGTCAGGTACTGATGTTGGATGATTAGATCTGTATGATCGCCCCTCCAGCTCATCCCAAAGGTACTGGATGGAGTTCCATCACTCCAGAGAACACAGATCCCTGCTGCAAAAAATAGAAACCATTAAGTGTTTCTGTTGGTTCCTGGTTTTGTAATGTGTTTTTGGAGTACTGATATCACAATGTAAAGGATCCTAATGGTTGAACAGGTGACCAATAGCTGATTCGAACTGCATTTGAAGGTTTCATAATGGGATCTAAAGGTGTCCTACACTCTTGAAAAAAAGTTCTTCAAGGGTTCTTTAGTAAAAAAAAATGGTTCTATAAAGAACCTTGAACACTCTGGGAACCCTTTGCATGATTAAAGGGTTCTGTGCATCATAAAAGGGTTCCTCAGAATGTGCTATAGATGGTTATATATAGAACCTTTTTGAAAAGGGTTCTTTATTGCACCCAAAAGGGTTCTTCTATTGCTACGATGTCCAGCTTGTAACAACAGAAGAACCCTTTTGAGTGCTAAATAGAATAGTTTTCAAAAAAGTTCTAAATAGAACCACCTACAGCACATTCTGAGGAACCCTTTAATAAGTCATCATTTCATAATTCATTTAATTATGCAAAGGGTTCTTAAAGTCTTCATGCTTCTTTATGGAACCAGTTTCCTGACTAAAGAACCTTTTAAGAACCATCTTTTTAAAAGTGTACAGGAAACTAGTGGTCTCTATTGAAAACCATTAGGCTAATTCCTATTAGAAGGCAAAACCAAAAGGTTTTAATCCTAATGGTTTCTGGTGGTCCTTCTTCAGCAGGGCTGCTCTAAAGCCATAGGCTTGGGGGCTTTATACCCCTCAGGTCGATGCTTGCACTGTGCTTGGTGACCTTAGCGTCCCATTCTATTGCCAGTGCTTTTCTATGGTGATTATACAAGCTGTCTTTGTGCAGTTGAACACCTGTGTCAGCAATGTGTGCACCTTACAGTAGCTGAACCTGCTAATTAGAAGGGGTGTCTGCATACTTTTGGACATATAGCATTTCTCTAAACTAATATTTTAAAGCACCTGTTTTAGAATTTTAGGAATTCTGCTGTAGAAACTTCCCTGACATCAGTGTGGTGTTGCAAGGGAGAAACACTGAGAAGGATGTTTATTAGGGCTTCATAAATTACAGTGTTTGGATGTTTTTAGCACTGAACATTGAACGTCTCCAGGTAGAATAATTTCAGTATGGTTATAAAAGCGGTGAAGCATGATGAGTTTGACATAACCTAAATCAGTAACCCTGTAGGCAGCTGCTGTGAGTGACTCACTCTGCAGCTTCCTATTCATAAACAATGAGTACAAGAAGAAATGCATATAATGCATCTTGCTTTGCCAATTCTTTAATTCTAAAGAACCATTTAGAAACCCAACAAGAACCTATTCAGCCTTTTTTATAATGTGTGATTGCTCTCTCTCTCTCTCTCTCACTCACTCTCTCTCTCTCTCTCTCTCTCTCTCTCTCTCTCTCTCTTTCTCTCTCTCTAAGGTCATGCGCCCTCATGTACCAAAAGCATCTTAATGTGATTCTCAGTGTCATGGCTTTCATGTTAAAAGTGATATAACTCTCAAAAAAAGTTATTAAGCTGTCACCCCTCTTGTGACTGGGGTGGTCCAGTCAAGGGTATGTCTTCAGCTCCTTTAGTTATGAAACATAATTGTACCATAATCCACTGCAGCTATATTTTCTATATTATAAAATATATATGAAAGGTAAATATATAAAAATGTTTATTTTATTTTTTAAGTTGTATTGATTCCAAACACCCTGTTCTGTCTCCAAGTATCAGAACATTAGGTTATAAAAAGGTACAAATGCATACCTTTTCCCTGGGAAAACATACTTACGGTACACAGTTGGACTCTAAAAGCATTGTTGTACCTTCGAGGGAACATTCACATCATTTCTACCATGAATAAACCTATCACTAATCAAATGTACTTCACTTCAAAGTACAAATGACACAGTAAAGTACCCAAGTAAGAAATTGAATAAAGCCGATAAAAACTGATTGCGCTCATTGTTTGCTAAGATGCTTCAAGCTTAGTATATTGACAGCTACTGTATAAAGTGCTGCATTACGCTGTGACTACTTCCAGTCATCTCCACGGAGAAAAGCAGTGACACGCTCTTTTGAATATTTCACATCCACACATTATCTCAGGAGACCTTGGTGCTGCTGAAGGTCAATAAAGAATATGTCAGCATAACCTCAGAGTCTTATGTACAGATGAGCTGGCATGCAGAGGAAAGCGTGGAGGTGAAAGAAACTTCTCTTTACTGACTGCTAGACTGATAGTAGCAGCAGGGTGAATTCTGAAGTGTATAGAAGCCTCTGCGTAGAATCACCAAAGGCACCAGATGCCTTAAAGCATAGTGATGATTCCTCTACAGAGAGGACACTGACTTGTGACAAATGCTGAAAGGAACTATGGCATTTTTCGAGGCAAACTAATTGAATGTTCTTAGCTGACATTCACTCACTGTGAATTTCATTGAGTGTGCATTTCACCTACTAAATACTAGACTGCAAGTAAAAAATCACTGAAACAAGCTCAAACTGAAAATGGCTGCACTTTAGGTCTGGCAGAGTATCACCACAGAAGATACCTGGTGCTTATTAATTATATGGGCAATTACTTTTTGGGCCCTAAAATGGCAGAACCTTATAAAAAGGTTTCTGATTCCTGAATGTGGTATAGTGGGGCATTTTGGCCAAAAATTTAAATCATGGTATAATTAAAATTGCTGACAGTTGTGGCATATGTCATAATACAAATAGATTTTTTCAAACCATTTTAGATGCTTTAGTAAACTTAAGTAACATTTTTTGTAGTTTAACAGTGGCTTATTATTCTGAGATGTCCCTTTGTTTAAAAAAAAACATTAACAACCAAAATAAATCTGAAATATTTGTATTTCTTTATGGTGCTTTCTAACATGCACCCATGTAAATTATGTACAAGGGCAGGCACAGACAGTGGCATACATAAGATCTTATGGGCCCTAATGCGGAAACACATAATGGGCCGCCATATGAAATTTACTCTTAATTAATAAGAAAAATGCCAATGTAATTTGCATGTTTGTTATCGATATGTTTTGAAAAAGTTGATAGTACTATAATCAAGTCACTTAAACATTCCAGTGCAAATAATGCTCCATTACATTCAATATTTTAAATGTTTGGACAAATTTAAGTGAAAGGTCAGTAATGCCTTTAATCCACACTGTAACAAGTATTTTTTGTATGTATGATGTAATGGCTATATTTCTCAATTGTAAGGACTTTGCAGGGTGTCAAAAAACATTAATTAACAAACTAATAAAAAAACACAACTTTAATCTGCCTGAGCAGAAACTACAAATGTAAGAAAAATGTCCACATAATTTAAGACTGTTCTGTTGGGTTGTGTGTTTGTGTAAAATCAGTTGTAAGATGGCTATGCTAGGAAGCAGAACCTGGGCTGTTTATACAAGCAAACACCGAACGTGCTATCAATAATGAAATTCGCTGAGTCTGAAAATCAATAATGGATGGTCTCAGCTGGTGGTGGATTAATTTGGTATGTCCTGACGAAGGTGAACAGTCTACAGCAGTAGCAGCTAGCTAGAGCTCTACTACACGTCTCTGATTTGATACCATTCATTGTGCGCATACCGTGTATGTGATTTAAGAAGACCAATTGCGTGAGAGATAAGGGTGCAGAGGGGCGGGGAAGGGCTTTTGTTTAAATCTTAATGGATGTGGCTGTGCTGTAGTTTAGCCATAAAATCTCCCGGTACATAACATGGGCCTCAGTGCAAATGTCCTTTTTTTCATAGCTTTCCAGGCTTTACAAAACATTTGCACACCTTAGGCCCCATGGGGTACAAACTTTCAACATCTGAAAGATACACTTTCATCACTCATACCACCTTTATAGGTGGTCAGTATTACATACGACCACATAACATTCGTAGTGTGAATGCTAAAGCACCTTGATACATTGTGAACCGTTTCAAAAGACTGCCTTGATTGGCCTCATCATCTCTGCAGAGACGAAAGCAGCTGCGTAGCTAATTCTTTCTTCTCTTCTGCCGTTTATTTTCAAGTTTCTTTAGCGATCCATGCAGTCTAAAATGTTGTGACAGCACTTACATTTACACAAAGAAGGACTTGCAGGACATTTTTGTCTAATAACAAATGCAGCGAGAGACTTGGGCTCCCAGCAGTATTTACTGATGCGTGTTAATCTACCTGTGACTGTATCTGAGATCTGGGGTAACCATGCAAACTCAAAGCTTGCAGCATTGCTTATGGTAACAACAGTACAAAGCTTTTTGTACAAAATGTAAATACAGTGTATGTGACAGCCAGCCTAGATGCTGCTGCTTATGATTATGAGGTAAACCGTCCAGCTTACCTCTCTTTATCCCTGAGAATTAAGCAGGGTGTTTTGGTTTCTGTACCTGTAAGATGATATATGTAAAGAGTCTCTATCCTGATTGGCTGTCCTGTACAGTGCCTCATTCAAAAAGCAGTCTCAGGGCCTGTCATATGTAGCAGGACTAATGGCTTAGCCAGCTAAGTTTAAGCTTAGTTTAAAAGCTTCTGCCTATTGTGGTTTGTTGCTGTGCCCACTGCC